AATGAAGCACCGGTAGTTTCACCTTTCGGTTGTTCGTTACGTCGTTTTTCGTCGAGAAATTTCGCGCGTCGAAGAGATAGATCGTAGACCAAATCGAAAAAGCGTCACACGTGACACCGTGGAGTGCCCGTCCAATACTGACTCGATCTACTTTGCGTTTTACTCGCGAGTGCGCATCGTGGCGCAGGATTAGCTTTTGCGCATGCGCACCAGGATGCTCCAAGTCAGGTGCTCGATTCGTCGATCGCGTCAATTTCGAAGCGTACTTGACTATGTAAGATTTTTTTTTCTCGATACTGTACTCATGACGATTCGATTTTTTTTTTTTTTTTTTAAGAAAGAAGGAAATCGTGAAATGAATTTTTCGTTTTTGTAATTAAGTCAACAATTTTATATTGCGTTCGAGATATGCGAATAAAAATATATGGGATGTAAAAATTTAATATATGAATGTGTGCAAGAATTTTGAAATATAATGTGCGAAGAATATATGAGATGTCCGATAAATATACGCTATAGGAATAAAATTATAATTTTCTCTTATCACGTATATTTTCCTTATAAATCGTTTTAAATTTAATATTTCTCAACCAAGAAATGGTCCATAACGGATCTATAACATTTATCTGAGATTAAATGGAGTATGTTAGGTGTTAAATCTAGCACGCTTGCGCGTGTGCGTTCGTAGTGCGAGCGAGAGAAGTATGCGCAAGCGTAGTTTGTCCGGTCAGTGCGTTCGCAGAAGTCGAGCTACTCCTACGTACAGGGACGGGCAAATTCTAATGCTTCTGTAAAATGTCTACTAAAGGCATTTCGTGTTAACATGAAAAACAATGAATATTTTATTCATTAGAAATATAATTTTACTATCTCCTTATTCGTAATTGTATATCGATTATGCAAATTAGAAATGGATTCATTTTCTTGATTCTTACGATGATATCATGAGTAAATGATAGTAGGATGTTAATGTTTATTTAGATAATAATTTATTACAAATTTTTTGCTTTAATTTTAATTTATAATAAAATAATAAAATATTAGATTTATTTATTTTATAGTTTGCAAGGTATTAGAATTATATGTGAAAAGTTCTGAGAAATTATTAGAGAAATTGTTACTGCAATGTAATGTAAGTAAAAGTTTAATATTAAAAGATCAATTTTATAAATTGTGTATAGAATTATAAATTATAATTATTTAATTAACTGTAAGTAAATTATTAGATAGAAAAATTGTTTCTATAGATATCTATTTTCTTAATAGAATACGTCCCTGTCTTTGCCATATTTCTTTTCTTTCGCCCACGGTGCCACAGTCCTTAGTATCCACTTCTACCTTAAGAATCGTTATTTATGGTAATAACGTATAACGAAGAACGTATCGATACTTCTTTTATATTCAAATAGTTTACGATTAAATATTTTATAACAATTAAATTTTGTCAAATAGTGTAATATAATACAATGAATTTAATGCATTTTTTACTATAAAATAACTTTTGATGATTATGATAAATATTATTTGTTAAATTATAATTAAAAATAGATAGATATAAAGAATCATAAAAAAATATATATATTAAAGTATGAACAATTGTGTCTTGATATGAATTTAAAAATTATTCAAATGAATATGCAAATAAAAGAACGCGAATAATAATTCTATACTGACGAAACAGAAACTGAACAAATCTGTTGATGATGTCATTCTCGCAATTCCTGTTCATTCGTTATAATATAATCTATACAATTTATTCAATTTTATAATATAATTATTTTTCAAAGCTAATATTTTGTCGAAATAAAATTAAATTTCATTAATTTTTGTATGTTATTTTACAAATTATGATGAAAAGAAATGTTTCAATATCGTGTCATATTTATATTATATCGTTTACATATTTCTACAATCTTAAAAAATTAAATAATTTAAAAATTTCTTACATTTTTTTCAATTTTTAGTTTTCATTTTTTTAATTTATAATATATATTGTAAAAATGTTGTAAAGGAATAGGTTTTTTTATATTCTTCAAATGGAAATATTTTATCGATAAAATAATAAATTATTATGATCTTAAAAAGATAACTTACCATTTGTAGAAAATACTTATTGATTGTCCATTATAACGATGATATATATTCACAATATATTCATTCATATGATTATATTCACGAAATATTTAATAACATTCATATAACATATATACAAAACAAAAATATTCGCGAAATTTGTGTATGATTTTAAATTATATACGAAATCGAACGAATATAAATACATATCGACCTTTTGTATATACGCGCGTGTACTACCGCGGTAAACCTCAGTTCGGTCGATACCGTTGTACCGTGCGGATGTAAAGTATCTCGAAAGTATCTCTCTAAAATATTAGAATATTTAAATATTTATTGTATAATTTATAATTTTTGTTTAATATTTTACTAATATTATCTTAAAAATTTTTATATATTATTATATATTATATATAGAAATTTTTATATATTATTGTTATATAATATATTAACGTTTGTAAATAACATAGTAATTGTTCGATATATAATAACGAAATGTACCGATAGTTGAGAATAAAACGCGATCACTTTCGTACCGACAGTCGAGAATAAAACGCGATCACTTTTGTATCGACAGTCCAAACGCGCGTATTTTAAAAACTTACTTCATTGAATCTTATTTTTATTTTGATTTCGTCTGAGACAAATTCTAAATTTTTTATTTTCTTTTTTCAATCAACATTCCAACGATAAAAAAAAAAAGAATAATACATAATAGAACAACTTATATATCAGTTTAATTAATAATGTTTTCAAATCTCAAATACATTTCTAAATTAATCCTTTCTTTCCGAATCTTGAATAGCTTTAAATTTCTAATTCAATTATTTCAGACAGCTTAACCTTTCTGTGTGGTACACGTCTTTCGCGTTACGTGACTGCTCATTCTCTTTGTGTGAACGAGACAAGGAACTACGTACACAACGAAGCCAGTATTGTGCACACGCGCAAAACCGTAGGTAATAATTTTCTCTGTTCTGGGCTCGCAATAAGGGTAGAGGGCAAACGCCGACAGAAGGTTGCTCCTATAGGTGGGGAATGCATCGAATGGTGGTGGGAAAGAAGGAACGATTGGTAAGGTTCTGTTGATACAAGTGCTAACACGCTTGGGACGATGGTGTGCGTGTGGTGTTAACCAGCAACTCTCACTCGAGAAGAGGAACGTCAATGGCAAAAGAGTACGTAGCGAAGTGCTAAGAAAAAAAGGAAAAAAGATATGTGGTTGTCACTACGCCGTATAAACAGACGCACGACCATTTCGATTTTTACGTGTTGGTCGCATCATTCGTGCAGATCTTGCAATATGGCTGATGACGTTGAACAAAATACTGTATCGTAGCGGTTCCAAATTCGATGTTAATTATATTGCATTCATTTATGCAATTTTCACTTCAAGATAACGTGAAAATGATTATTCATTTGCAGTTCATTAGGGTGATGTGATTTCGTTTAAATTTTAATTTATTCATGGGAAGATATATTTTGTTTAGCTGTTTAGTGTTACGTCATTTTGTTTTTCAGTGATTAATAATAGTGAATGAAAAATTTATCGTTAAATGGACATTTTAATATTGGTATGAGTTATTTATTGCATTATCGATAATTTCTTTTTCTTTTTTTTTTTTTTTTTTTTTTTTTCCTTGGAATATTATTATGGAGACGGATATTTGAGGTTATTTAAATTACCCGTTTTATAGGAATTTCTTTTCGTTGTAAATTGAATTGGCATAGACGGAATACAAAAGGAATAGTCAATATCAAGAAAGTTTTAAATCCAATCTTTAATATTAAAGTTTAAATAACGTAGAATCGATAATTGATCGTTCCTTTGTGTTATTAATTTCATCGTTCCAGCTGTATTGAATTATCTGCTTATTCGATGTGGGAGAAAAGAATTCAGTTTCTATTAAATTATTAAAGAGATTTCGATTTGTATTTATTTATTCACCGATGGAGCTATATCCTCCTTTTTGCGCATTATTCCCGCAAATTTAGGTAATAGTAATTAGTGCATAACGTAATAAAATTATCCTCTTAAAATTGCTTTTTTAAAAAGCGATTTAATAAGCGATAAATCTAATAGACTTGTAAATATAATAGACTTTTTTTAAATTTAAATTGTTAATTTAATAAAATGAAAATTTTTGAATATTTATAGATAATATCAACTTTTTCATCCAAATTTATCATTGTTACTTATTCTAAAAAAACTTTTAACTACGTCCCTGAGTTTACTTCTTATCCTTCCTAGATCTGCAAGTATCAAGTAAGTAAATAGGTCTATGTTCAAAAACGGAAGGATCGAGGGATAAGGTTTTTAACAAGGAAGCAGAAATCGAAGCAAATACAAAATTAAGCGGACATTTTTTCCATTTTCTTCAACAAATATATACCTTCCTAAAACGATAAATAAATATAAAAAGCGTTTTTCTAAAATTTGACAAAAAAATCATAGCAACTGTACCGTATATCAAATTCCCCGAAACCTAACATTCCATCAAACAATTTACAATATACATGGTATCTCGAAAAAAATCGGAAGAATCATTTCAAAAAGATCCAAATGATCACGAGTCATCGAACCCACGCGTCGAAAGGACCGAGCGTCTCCCTTTCAAGTTACGCTCCTGGCTAGCGATCATACGTACACATAACTCTATACACACCGAACCAATCCGTGGTGGAGCTCTAGGCCCGTGAAGCACAGCGAGGGAGGAAACGCAGAGCGGCGAACGTCATCGGTGGCAGGGAATGCAAAAGGCCAGATGGTGGGAGTAGTTCGGGGCTAGGTTGATGGTAGGGAAGGAGGAAAGGTGGGGAAAATGTTGGTGGTGGTGGCGGCTGCGCCGGGTATCCGGCTGGGGCAGTAGTCGGCGGCGTTTCGAATGATGTGGAGAGAGAAGGAGACGGAGAAGGAAGGAGAAAGAGAGAGAGAGAGAAAGAGAGGGTCGAATGGAATGGAAAGGCAGTCAGGTTAGCTGCGGCGCGGTAGGGGAGGGCAGGAACGAGGCAAGGCAAGCGATTTAGCTGGTGCTGGTTCGGCGAGCCACGAGTTGGAGTGGCGAGAGAGCAGCCGAGGTCCCGTTGCCCGTGCCTGCACCGGGAGAGGCGTCATGAAAGCGCGCCAGTTGACCGAGTGCACCTCACCTCGGACGAAACCGCGTATTTGCCGTCGTTGAGGAGAGGCCTACCTTGCCCTCTCTGCTTTCGTGGCAAGGATTCGGCCGGTGGCTCTCCTGCTCCTCGCTGTCACGCGCCTCTATTGTTTCTCCAGTGCGGGTTGGGGGGGGGGGACTCTTGGTTTTTGCCAGTATCCGGATAGAATAGCGGCGCGTATCCGTGTCGTGTGTCGGTCGAGACGTACTCGATTTTCGTCATTCGTAACCCGTGTGTACTCGTTTCAAAGAGAAGTTTCACCCAGTCAATAGTGTGCGAGTGAGTACGCGATGCGTGAGACGTGCCGTTTGGATTGATCATCGCGTATGTCTACGCTTCGGTCTACTACTTTTGACAAGGGAGTTTGAGTGGGTGGAAAAGGACGAAGGAAATAAGAAGTTTTCCGTTTCTTTCGACTCGTTTTCACGTCACGCGAATTTCTCGTGGCGCGATACGTTGTTATTGACATATCGATTTGGTTGGCACGGTGCTCGTTCGTTTGGCATCGAATCGTGGTGGAGATCGAGAGAAGGAAACACCGAGAGGAGGAAAAAGAAAAAAAAGGAAAAAATATGAAAACTCGTTTCTGTCAGTGAGCACGGCTCGGATGAAAGTATTAAAACGTTCTTTCTTTCGGTTTCACGTTGATAACCACCGTCGCCTCGGTGGCCTGGCGTGTTTCACCTTGACGTTGAAACGTTGAACGTAGTGGCACGTTTCGGCTGATATTTCTCATCATCGAATCGAGAGAGCGAGGAAACGGAGCATTTCGACACACACACGCGATATTCTTTGTTATTCTTTGTTATCGTAACGATATCGTACACAACGTTGCACGTACGTTCTCTTTTCGATTTCGTATTTTCTGTATCTGACGATCGATTCGAAACGCGAAGGGAATAAAAGGAACAAAGATAGATTGGCTCGAAGATTAATTCAAATTCGTCGGGCGTTCGGCGACGTCAACGTGGGCCGCTTTAAACGAGCGAAAGGAAACTTGTAACGCCAAAAAAAATAAATAACGATCAGACCAGAAGATTATTAAAAACCTCGTACATTCCATTTTATTTTTTAACACAAAGTAACGAAAGTTACGCAACGAGTTACCTCCTTTGTCGTAAGAGAAAGAAGAAAAAGAAGAAGAAGGGAGAAGCGAGAAGAATATTAATCAACGTCCGATAATAATCATCTTTGAAGTACAATTTCCTGGATCCGATATCGAACAATCTGACTGGTTGGCAACATTAGTGACATCTCCGATTTCACGAAACGCTCGGTTCGTTACCTTGGCGTTGTCTCGGGCAAAGCAAGGAGGGTGGCATCCCCTCGTCTCGTTATCCCGTTCCACGCTCGTCGAGGGGCCGAAACGGAACGGATAGGAGAGCGTCGACCGAGAAGAGAGAAGAAAGTACAAGACCTTATCTAGGCCCTCCTCCAACTCTTTCACCGTCGTCGAACAATCGAGTCGAAGAGAGAAAAGAAGCAAAAGAAGAGAAAAAAAAAGAAAAAAAAAAAAAGATGATAGTGCACGAGCTCGTTATCAAACTTTACGTGGCCATTGTCGACGTGCTCGTTGTCGGTTGCCCGTATCGTTCCAGGTAAAATTCGAATTCGTTTCGTCAAAAGAGAGGCACGAAATGACGCTCGCCGTTTCGTCACGGTTCACCGACACTCTTGCCTGACATTCCATTATTATTATTATTACACGATACGATTCGATATCGTATCGAAGGTTCTCCCTTCGGAGGTGATCTCGTGCGAGCTCGACTTTAAACGTATACGGAACCCCATTCCAGTCATGACGGAACCACGGACCAGAAGTATCGTAAGCAACGACAGGACGAGAAAAAAGGAATTTTCCTTTAATCCTTCTTTCAGAGTCCAGTGATAAAGTTGTGAATGCCGGGGCCCGGAGAGGCTCGTGGTCGTGGTCGTGGTCGTGGTCGTCGTCGTCGTCGTCGTCGTTTCAACATTTGAAAATCCGTACGAGCGTACGTTAGGCGGCCGCGAACTAGTCGAGCAGGAAGCGTGCACACGTTGGTGTGACACACGCGGTGACACACGTGGTCGGCCGTTTGGGTACCGTTTGCAACATTCCTATCCGAGCTATCCGTGGAACGAGTTAGAGGGGAGGAGGCGGAGGAGTAGTGTTCCGGTTAGCCGAACCGTCGAGCCAGCCAGCCGTCGATGGATATGGCAGCCGCTGTTGTTGCTCCTCCACGGTTCCAACGTTGTCGGCGGCGTGCTACCTGTGAATCGAGCGAACAGGTGTTGTCGCAAGGTGTTGCCCGGGCCGGGATACGTGATTCCTCGTGATATCAGGCGCACGGCTCGTCAAACTGTCTGCGGTAGTGGTGTGTGCCACTCGTGTTTAACTCGATCGATCGTGTGTGCGTGTGTGTGCGTGCGTGTGTGCGTGCGTGCGTGCGTCGTGTGAGAAAGAGAGAGAGGGAGAGAGACGATCGACACGATTCCTCGCGTGCATTCTTAGTGACCGAAAGTGTTTGACCGAAGTGATACACGCTGAGTTTAGGTGTAATCGGTGGCCAAGAAGCGGAGAAGTAGGCCGCGGAGGAGAAAGGAGAGGAGAGGGAATATATACACGGTTGAAATTGGTGCGAGGGAGAAGAAGGAGAAGGAGAAGGAGAAGGAGAAGGAGAAGGAGGCAGAGTCGTGGGATACGTGTTGATCCGCGTCGATCCGTGTTGGTCCAGAGAATTAAGGATGAAGAGCAGGATGGTCGATTGCGCGCGATCCATATCCAGGTTTCGCGGCACCCTTCTTCTGCTTCTGACGCTGCTCGCGGAGGTGAGTAGTAAAGATGACGGTGGTGGGTATAATCGTATGAATCTAGGACGTGTCGTTGGAACGCCTTTCCACGAGAGACACTCACCAGCCAGCCTCTTGTCTATGATTACGTTTTGCTCCGCTTCTTTTGATCTCTGCTCACCACGAGGAAAGTTTAGTAATAAATTTTTATCCTCGTTTTATTTATTTTATCCTCCTTCCTCGATTTTGCTTACGCGTGTATTTTTCTCGACAGCGAGGCACAAATTATTCTTTTTCTCGGAATGTAAACGAAAAGGTGGATTAATAACACGGTTATAAAGTTATAGATTATCGTTATCTAGATAGATTATTGTTTGTCGATATCGTTTCGAAAGGAAAAAAAATTTACCACGTTATTTACTTTATCGATCTTTTTTCATCCGAAACTTTAAATTTTGAATGATACGTAGAAAAAAAGAAAAAAAATTCTAGACAGTCCTCTTACGCACACACAATAATCGAAGTAATATCGTTAGTGAAATTTGACGAGTCACGAGTCACCAATGCTAATAAATTTCTTGCGCAACAGAGATTGGAAATGGAACATAGTAACGTTCTAGAAGTAAATTTTTACGAGTTGCGAGTCGAGATTGTCCCATTCGGCTCTGACTAATCGAACTGAAAATTTTCCAAGCCGGATTCGAAGGAGAATCGAAGGAAGTTTCGCGGTGTAATATCTCGAGACCGAGTATCTCGTCTCTCGAGTTGTGGTCGGCGATCGGTGAAGGGGAACACACGCAGGCCGGGTATCTAGTCTTCTTTTGCTCGGCCGATTTGTGTCCCCGGGTTGCGAAACTCGTCTCACTTTCCCAACGTGAGAGAACGTATATCCAATGCGTTTGACCTCTGAATTCGAATCTGCTTATCGCGACAATCGCTCGAAACTATTGTAAAACGATTTCCTCCTCGATTCGATATCTTTAAATGGCAATTCCTCGTCCACACCTGCCAATTTTATCCTGCCGTATTAAGGAAATATTAACGTTGGAACGTGTACGTAGAGGAATTTGACGAATTTTTTTCTTTTCTTTTTTTCTGGCGAATTTTTTTCTAACGCAAATTTATGACGTGTTTGTATTTCGCGGACTGTTAACTCGGCTCGTATCTCATTGGCCCGGTGTTGTTGAATGAGTCGAGGAATTTGATAAGAGCGCGAGTTTCGTTCACGTTTTGCCGAATTCCGTGAAACAATGATAGGTGCTTGTGAGGTGGGTGCGATAAGGATAAGTTATATTGGCGATAATCGATCGTATTTATTTCTTGATATATTGTGTGTGATTTAATTCTCCGTCGATTATGATTATGATTTAACGAAGACGTAGTTTATCTTCTTACTATCTTCGTAATTATGATATAGAATTGTTTGTATATGTATGTGTACAAATATGACGTGTACGTGTTTCGTTATACGCGAATACGTATTATTTTCTGGAATTGATTGACGACCACCAGGATGTAATTATGAAAAATTGCGGATTATGAGAAAGATAAAAAAAAGATATTTATCTAAATTAAAGATGATAAAGAAAAAAAATAAAATAAATCCGTATCGGCCGTGGAAGGAAAGAAGCGGAAAGACGATAAGTGTGCAGTGGATTTCGTCGACAAATAAGTAATAAACGAAAGAGCAGGCGAAAGAATAATATACGATAGGATATAAAAAAAATTTACTATTATACCGTAAAATTTATATCCACATGTGCATACATTCCCTCCTCCCCCCGTGCATCGTCATCGTCGTCGTCGTCGTCGAATAATTAATAAACGAAAAAAAAAAAAAAAAAAAAAAAAAAAAAAAAAAAAAAAAAAAAATAGCGCGTGATGGCGCATAAAAATTCAACATTTCAGCGAAATTTTTTACTCGAAGCTGTGAAAGTATGGCTGTCACCGATAATTAAAAATCGTCGTAAAATTACCGTTGAAACAAATGAAACTCGGCTGTAGGCGCATCGCTGTTTATCGAGTAAAGGAAAGTTTCCTCGGCGAAAGTTAAGTTTCTGCCGAGTTCTGCCGGTGAATGGTCGCCCCGTTCGACCATGGCCAACGCCCATTTCGATTGTTTTTTCAAATTACGAATATATACGTATATACATACATATATATATATTCTTTATCGTCCTCGAACAAAATCGATGGTGGATGGAAACAACTGGGCTAGGTTACTCGAGTATATGCTATATATATGTGCACGGTTAACTAGGCTAAGTGAAAGTGAATAAAGTGGAGATTGGTTATAAAAACGATGCAAAAGGCAGGATAGGACTCGGGCTGATAGGCGGATACAGAGAGGTTCGTCGAAGGACGGGAAGGAAACGGAATAGAATTTTTGTGGGTTTTGAGGTCGGAGGGTTTTGCGAGTGAATCACGGCGTATTTCTAGCAGAGTCCTCGGATCCTTGTCGAAAACAAGCGTAAAAAACGAAATACGAAAATCCAAGAGAGAAAGAGAGAAAGAGAGAGAGAAAGAGAGAGATCGGCTAAATATACGAAATTATTTCGATTAGAAATGAGCTCGATTCCGACGTGAACGTAAACGGGTTGAGTTTTCTACGTTAAAAAAAATCGGGAAAGAAAACACTCCGCGGTGGTCTGGCGAACAAGGAGAAATTATAATTAACCGGGCTACGCGATACAACAGATAAAGTAACGAAATAAAACGGCCATCTGTTTCAATTTGTTGCAATGAGTTGGTTTTATGGGCGAGCGAGTATTACTTGTATCTTCGTTGTTTTTCATCGCAATTAAGGTAATTTATGGTAAAACAAAATTTTGCAACCAATGAAATATACGTCTATCATTAGGTACACGTTATATTAACATAAACGAAAATTTCGATAAATTATTACAAGTTTAAGAAGGATTTATCGTGATAATAAAAATGTATTCACAGTTGAAACATTTTATATGAAAATATTTCGAAATTGTGAATTTTCTAATTATATTTTTTACATTACGAAATGTAGTGAAGAAATATCCAATTCTCCTTTTTTTCTTTTTTTTTTTTTTTTTTGTAAATCATCAGACTCGAACTATATACGTGCATCGATCGAGTGGAATTGAAATATTTATTTATTTATTTATTTTCGTTACTTCTTTCTAAGTTGGCCGTTAAAGGAGGGCAGAAGGTTTCCAGATTCTTTCGAGCGATTAAGAGACGAGATTTATCGTAGATAAAAGATAGAGGTATACGATTACGTCGAAGAAAAAGTAATAATCGCCATTGCGCTTGCGTCGTTGCACTTGAAAAAAGATCACGTTATAGGAAGAGATACACCTCGGTGAACCATATACTTTCTCCTCGGATAACTTCCTGCATCTTTGCTCGGGAAAGAACCAGCCGTAACTCGTTCCATTTTCTCGAATTATCCTCCGATTATTATTTTCCTATTTTTCCGAATATTTTCCCCGTTGTTTTTTTCCTTTTTTTTTTTTTTTTTTTTTTTTTTTTTTTTTTTTTTTTTTTTTTTTTTTTTTTTTGCAATGGAATAAAAGATGCACCGGATGCTCACTTCCTTCGCTTCCAGCGTCGATATATATCGGTGACTGCGAAATTTGCATCCGTGGTCTGCAGCGCAGACGAAGCTCCCGACACCGTTTTAACCAGAATTACTGTAACTTCCGCTTCGTTCCAATGCGAAATTTCGAACGTTCTCGCAATCGTTTACAGACGAATCGATTTGATACGGACGAGAGAGGGAGAGAACAATAATCGTTAAACGATAAACTTTCGTCGTTAATTGCGAAATTATCTTAGGGATGAAAGTGTATTTAATTTATATAACACGAGAAGCTCGGTTAATGGAATTTAAATTTCAACGCTGAAATTATAATACAACTGTAATAATACGTGGCACAAGTATGAAAGTGCAATTATTGCACAAGAAACACGATATACAAAATCTCTGTGCCGAGATTTATTTTGATTATAAGTTGATTATTATTCGGCAAATGATCGTGTTTCGATCGATCTTCTTAAATAAACGAAGCAATCGAATTAAAAAGATAATTTTCAAAATATCTGGATACATTTATCGTTTAATCGATACTTCTCTCTCTCTCTCTCTCTCTCTTTTTCTTCTCTCTCTTTCTCTCAATAAGAAAGCAATATTAATTTTTTAAAAAACTTCGTAAGAATGTGGAAGTCTGTGGAAGAAGAGCAGATAGATCGACGATGCAAACGTGTTGCCGAACACTAGCTTATTTCGAATAAATTGATTTCGATCGATCTTCCGTTCTTAAATAAACGACGCAATCGAATTAAAAAGATAATTTTCAGAATATCCGGATATATCTATCGATACTTCTCTCTCTCTTAATAAGAAAGCAATAATTTTTTAAAGAACTCGTGGATCCGTAAAACAAATTTCAAAAAAATTATTGAAACGTCTCGAAGGAGACCATAGATCCATGCAAACATATTCCCGAACACTAGCTTATTTCGAATAAATTGATCAAGTTTCGATCGATTTCCGTTCTTAAATAAACGATGCAATCGAATTAAAAAGATAATTTTCAGAATATCCAGATATATCTATCGCTTAATCGATACTTTTCTTTCTTTCTCTCTCTCTCTCTCTCTCTTTCTCTCGATAAGAAAGCAATATTAATTTTTTAAAGAATTCGTGGACTCCATAATAATTTCATAAAACTATGGAAACCTGTCAAAGGAGGGCAGATAGGTTTATGCAAACGTTCCTAATCATTTCGAATAAATTGATCATGTTTCGATCGATCTTCCTTTCTTAAATAAACGATTAAATCGAAATTAAAAAGATAATTTTCAAAATATATCTATCGACACTCTTTCTCTCTCTTTCTCTCTCTCTCTCAATAAGAAAGCAATATTAATTTTTTAAAGAATTCGTAGACTCCATAATAATTTCATAAAACTATGGAAACCTGTCAAAGGAGGGCAGATAGGTTTATGCAAACGTTCCTAATCATTTCGAATAAATTGATCATGTTTCGATCGATCTTCCT